GTTGGAGTCCGGTATTATGAAACTCACAACGTGAAAAATAAGAATAAGAACAAGAAAAAAACTGGCTTGGAGGAACAAAGATCAAAGCACAAAAAATACAAACATAAGCAATAACGGCTTATTCTATTAAATTTTACATAAAACAGCTCTAGTATGCAGTGGCTTTTTTTTAATATAAAACTTGTAGTTCCCATTCAAAGCTTAGTTTGACTTGTCTGTCTTGTTCCCAGGAGTAGCATCTCACTCTTTGTTTCTGCATCATCTGAAAGTTCTTTATGCAACTGGAGATCGTGGTATTTCCACATCGCCGTCTAAGGCCAGTAAACACTGCATTGGCAAAGCATATCCCAAAGTGTTATTCAGTGGTGGTGTTGGGTTGTTTGGTTGTTTGGTTTGTTTTTTCTGGAAACTGGCTTTATGGAATTTTTCTTATGACTGCAGCGAATTATCTTTCCCATGTCTGCTTGCTGTGTATAACCAGCTAGTTACACAGGTACCTCAAGTAAAGATCTCATTTGCTTCCACTGAGAAGTGATGTTTGGAATGGTATCACGCCCCTCTGTTTCATTAGAAATCACCACGTAGAGAGCTTTGGTGTTGCTCACCCTGGGTTACTACCAATGGTTCTGACGAGGGATTTTGATGTACAGTTAACAGCAACTTGTGTGTACTCAAGGAAATGCCCTCCAAACACCCATCCAAGGATTACCTGCAATTTGTTTCATAGTGAACATGGCTTGCATTTATTGTAGATGCTTCATATATTGTTTCTGAATTTTCTACAACATTTTCAAAGTAATAATATTACAGAGATGCTTGCATGTAAAAATGTTTATTAGTTTATTGCTTTGAAGGTCATCTAGCATATTACCAACAGGCAAGTCCCAGACAGGTTCACTATTGAAGGAGCTGAATGCTGAGATGGCATTGAAAGAGGGTGCAGTAACTAAGCTCTTGAATTTCAACTCTTCAAGAGAAAAAGAAAGAAATAATAGAATTACACTGCCTTCAGTTACCGGTAAGTGAAAATTCAAGATTGTTTTATGAAGACAAATCTTTGTCACTAATTGCAAACTTCTTACTCTTGACAGCTCTTCTGAGCACTGCCTGGAGGACTGCAAAAAAATCTACTTATTTGGTGCAATGATGCTTTCAAGTTGGGCCTGAAAAACAAATGAGACAGTAAGTCAAATTAGATTCAACCTAGAAAATAAACCCGCATTGCTGAAAAGTGATAAATTGTCTGTTGGATATTCAAAGCAAGGAGCTGAGGGATGCTGCAATACTTCAAGAGGAGCAGGCCAGGGTTTTTTTCCCTAGCTATTCCATTCCTTACTACATGTTTTATAAATTAGCTTTTCATTCTTGGCATACACACTTGTTGCATTCTGAGAAGAAAAGAGCTGGCCTTGGTTCCATACAATGAGACTCGTTTTATAATGTAAAGCATTGAAGAGGAAATTAAATAAAAGCTGTTGAAACAGTGGTCTGAATTCTCTGATTTCAGGCTGGACTACGTTAGTCAAATTAAATATTTGGCGCTCTAGCATTTGGAACACAAACTCTGACTCTGGGACAAAAGTAACTGGGAACAGCAAGTTTTTCAGTTCCTGAGACAACCCAATTAGATGCCCAATTAGATTGATCAGAGCGCTACCCATGCTTAGGGAGCGTGTAGGGGATAAGGCTTCCAGGACTCTTAGATTGTCCTCTTCCTAGAGCTGCCATCAAAATAAACTACAACAGTGGTGTACGTGCAGCTGTTGGAATACTTGTACTTCAAGGAAGAAGTGGACTCACTGGCAACACGTATTTGATCTAACAGTTATTCCACTTTGTGCCCTAAAATGTTTCAAGATGACCTGAAGACATTAATGGTTTAGAAAGGAGAAATTGTAGGAACAGTGAAGATAAGGAAAGCAGGTTGGTGTAAAGGACGTGTTTTTAGCTGTAGCCAGAAACATTTAACGTTGTTTATGGGAATATTTTTTCTTTACTCAAAAGATGTGGGTTTTTTTCCTTTCAAAAGCAAGGTAATGAGCAGAAGCTCTGTTTTCAGCAAAGCAGCATGCACAAAATTACTCCTGTAATCTTGCAGTCCCTACTGCCTAAGTACACAATTGTTATTAGGTAATATTGAATGTTAAATGGTGTGTCTTGTTATGGGGAGTCAACTTTAATGGCCAACAGCAAAAAAAACAAAGCATCTTAATTTGCCTTCACTAGATTTTCTGTTTTGTAGTTGAGAAGGCGTGCTAACTATTATAACCTTGCAATCAAGTTAAGCAGAAATAGATTCCTGGAGTATCGGTCAAGTTTGAAGCCTCTGCGTTTGGGGTTCAGCTGCATGCATCTGCTCTTCTCCAGCTGACTGTAACAATTTAGCATTTTCTGAACAATTTCTGATCTCTCCCTGGCAAATGTGTGTATGACAAGAATTCAATTAATCAGACCTGCTGTTTGCATCGTCAGGTTTGCTAGTAATGACCAATAGCTGACTTTGCATTCTCTACTTCCTTGCTTGCTAAAACACTATTTTGCCATTTCGCTGAGAATTTAAAGAAAGTGGAACATTAATACAAATGCATCATAAATGCAACACTTCTAAAATTATAAGGAGAAAGTTATTTTTATGTGTTTCTAATTACAAAATGAGAAGCTTTACCATTACTGTTTGGAATTGCACTTTTTTACTAACCTTCAGCTGTTGATTCGTTCGTTTCAGGAACTGAACCTCTTCAGTGTGTTTCTTCTCTTCTATCTGTCGCCTTTCATTTTCACGTTTTTCAATAGCTTCACATTTAGCTTTCTGTTCACTCACTTGTCTTTCCAACTCCCGCTTTTCCTCTTCTAGCTCTGCAATCTTGGAAAAGAGTAGAGATTCCCCAAGTTTTGTTTGGTAATAATCAATTTTCAGTTAAGATGGGACAAAGTTGTACATTGTACAGCCTTTAGAGTGTTCCAGATACAATAACAGATAATTTATGAAGTGCAATTAAGCCCTAGGAAAACAGTAAGAAGTATTTTGGTGATCTTTACTGCCATCTAGTGGACATAGAAATAACTGATTTCTTAGAAAATTTTATATGTAATATCCCTATGCTGTGTCATGTACAGAAAACTACATTATGGGGTTAACAGCCCAACTTACTCTTTTTTCCATGTCAGATTTGCCTTGCTCAGCTTGCAGTGCCTTACGCATGCCGAATGCAACACTGCTCTCGTACAGTGTCTGATAAGCAGCAATTGTCATTTGGATTTCATCCCTCACTCGAAGCAGCAGCAGTCCTCGCTCTGCGCAGTTAATTGTAGTTTCACGGATCAGTTCATCTTTAAAGAAAGGGAACAACGATCTAGTTAAAGTAGGTACTGTACATTTTTCTGGGAATGGTGGATACACGCAGGGTCCAGAGCTTGCTGTCTTTTACCTGTTCTCTGCATCTCAAAAGCAACATGGATTTACTAGAGATGGTCATAATTATTTTTTTTTGGTTACATTACAACTATCGCATCAAGTGCTACCCCATAAAAGCGGAGTGGTGGTACAGAACCTATGGTAACAACAGTGATACTGATCTACTAAAGCCATAACAGCAAACACCTAAAAATTTGTAATGATTTTCTGCAGTTATCAGGAAGCCTCCAGAAGAGTCAAGAGCCTTCATCCAGTCTCAGCACCATGTCATCAGTGTGTAAGAGTGCTTAACAGGTATGTATATGGTGTTTTAAGTTATTTTAAACTAACTGATGGGTTAAGTACAACTAAGAGAATTTTAAGCTTATTTGCATCTTTTATGTTGTAAAGGTATGCCTGCACAGACGTGTCTTTTGAGGGTCAGCTTTGTCAACAAGACATTGTACCATGCTCTGTGCGAAAGCTGACAGCGTGGCTAGATGTTTAGGGTCAGAGCCCTGCGGCTGCTAGAAGAGCAGCCCCTGCCCCGCGCAGCCCCCCTGGGCAGCCCCCTGCACCCTGCCCTGGGGGGACTGAGGCTGCTGGAAGGGACAGTGCTGGGGGAGTCGCAGCCCCCCAGGGCCCGGGGCGGCTGTGTTTTTTACGTTCCCTGTTCTGGCACTGACCAAAGCACTGCGAGTAGAGCTCCCTG